GGAAAATTACTCGGTCATCGGGACTACCTCGTTCGTTGCGGTAATCATAGCCTTCATACTGTTCTTCGTCCTACTCTCCCGGATATTCCGGACAAGGCAAGTCGTTCAGAATGGCTGCAACACCGGTAAGCACACGGTAGTTCATGAGGTTTAGCACGATCTGTGAAGAATTGAAATGGAGGCGTCGGGTTGTTATCCTCGATATTTTTTTCCCAGATGTGCATTGACAGAAGTAGAGCAGTCAAAAAGCCTCACCAAAATTTGTTTGTTAGCTAAGCCATCGCTAGCATATAAGTCGACGAACTCGTAGCCTATATCTCACGAAATCACGCGAATGTGCCATCGGCGTTGAGAGAGATTCTCTGGGAATGCGCCGCTGGTAAATCGGCCATTTTGCAGGCTTCAGAATGAAGGTTCGTTTGCACCTGCGATTAGTACCGCTGGCACGACCACTTTAATCACCACGTTACTGCTCGCAGTTCGCTGCTTTATTTGCGAAGTGACTGCTCTGGCTCAATCACTTGCTGTTCGATTTTTCAGTCACCCGACCGCAGTCTCAAGCTTCTGAACCAATCACACAAGTAGGTACATGAAGTCGGAATATTAACGGGGTTGTGGCAGTGCTAGTCATACGTGAGCATACGTGAATTTTTGTGCAGATGAGTAAGTCGCACAAAAGGGCGAACATGTGTCGGCGGGAGTCACTTTTTTGTCGCTTGTCGCAGGTGTGAATGGTCTTTGAGTTGTCTGAATGGCACTGGTGCGTAAGCTGATTTCTTATTGTTCAAGGATGGAGCATTTTTGAGCAAAGCTCTCATAAGCTGTCGTAGGCTGTCATCGTCGCTTGGCTTGACGCAGGCAGAACCATATATAACGTGGCCACCTGTAGCGTATTGAGCGCTTAGTCAAACTATAGACGAGTCTTCCTCCCTTTGTTCTTCCAGTGCCTTCATGATGTTTTTATCGCAAGCAATATTTCAAGTAGGCCATTCCGCTGTGCACAAACACAGGCCCGGGCGTGCTTCTTGTTTTCTGTGTTCGCGTAGCCTAGCAGCATTGGCTGCTAGGCTACGGTGAACAAATGCCTTAGTGAGTAGCCAGGTTATTTTCAACAATTTTTTTCCTATGTCTGACGAAATATTTGTAATACAATTTATTAGAACTCACGCTTAACATTAGAAGTGCTAGTTCTTAACTCTAATAGAATTAAAAAGACAAGTTTTTTCTTTCAGTGCAAGAGAGTGATGACTGAAGTGACCGGGAGTTTATTGAGAAGCAACACATGCTGGTGCTATTGCAATGTTTTAGCCCACCAAAAAGGTGAACAGCATAGCCAAATTGAGCATATTGAGCGCGTGCTCACGCCAAAGAGGTCTACGTCTTGTTTTTTGAGTTCCTTAATAACTATATAAAGTGCGGACAGAGCTTCTATATATGCCCAGGGAAACGCCACAAGGCGATTCACATAATAGTAATCGAAAGGTAAAGCAAGTCAGAAATAGAAATAGGGGAAAAAAGTAAATAGGAATAAAAGTGGAAATAAATAGAAATGAGGAAAAACAAAAAAAAACTGCAAAAAAGAACGAGAAAGAAAACGAGGAGGAAAGAAAGAGAGAACTGTGGGAAAAATACACGTCCTCAGCTCCGCACTTCTCTCAAGCTTGGCACAATTGGGGCAAAGCTGCCTTGACTATTTCTTTCCCCTCTTATGTCAAGACAGGATGAGCAACTCGCCAGGTGGAAAGAACATGTATTGCACAATGCGTCGGCACTGTTTCGTGAAGCAGAACGGATTAAGCACAACTGTGTTCCTTGGGGCAGTCGTACATCCTCGATAGCAGATTCTCTTCTCTTTTTGCCAAATTGTGTACGCATTTCAACGGCTACGTGAAAGAAGGTGCGCCCTATTAAAAAAATACGTCCCAAAGCCACGCTATGGTTATGACGGATTCCATGGGGGGGGGGGGGGCAATGATATATTGACTATCTGGTGTTGTTTATTGTGGACTCGCATCACACACTATATATACACTGAACGAAAGCATTTTGCCCCCCTCGAAATTCAACCGCCTTGGTCGGAATCGCATTGGTGACTTTCGGGTCAGCAGCAGAGCACCATGACCACTACACCACCGTGGCAGACGAAGGCGCTTGCTATTTTATCACTGGTCAATTACTGTTTATTAAGTGAGTGAATTTGGCTCTAAGGTGAAGGGCACCACATGCTAAACAACAGATTTGTCATTTCACTTGTGCGTTTTGTTTCCAAATGGTGGGAGAATGGTAGCAAAAATGTTTGCAAACATGAATTCAATAACGCTGTTTCATCAAACCTACCATCCATTAAACTCTCGTGTGCTCGTCACGAACAGCCAGTTGGGAGCACTCTCAGCTAGCTTAACTGTGGGCAGGCACACCATGTCGATGGTTTGATTCCTGGAGAAGGCGTACACATTTTGATGGGTTCCATTGCTCTCGGGGTGCAGTATAAGAAACCCGTGTTATCAATCTGGAGCTTGTCCTCCAAAGCAACCTCAATAATGGTCCTTTCGGTGCCAACGCAATTCAGCTCAACAAAGTGTTCACCGTATGCAACGCTTGTAGCACCAAGTCTCTGAACGTATAGGCCGGCATATGCCGAGCACGAACTTGTATATTCTACGAGGCTGCTCGCCGTTCTAGTGAATGCCACTGGTTAAAAGCCAAAAGAAGGAATGTAAAGTGCAAGAAAAAATTCTTCGCGTCTGCTGAAGGTGTCGTTTATTGCTATAAGCGAAACATTCAGCACAGCGCTATTCCGTAGCGTATAACCTGAGTGATTCCGATGCAGTTAACTGAATACATCGAGATAAATGAATGCATGTTTCTCACAGTGCCACTCGTTATGTCACGCAACCAATTTCGTCTCCCATTGAATAATTCAATGAATTACCCAAGTGTGCAGGAGGCCTTCGGCTTCTAGTTCTACGTAGAGTATGAGTAGGGTGGATGAAGCTGAAAGGGATTTGGCACAAGTGTCCGATCAAGAGAGTGGGAATAGTATACATGTGGCACCTTTTTTCCTAGCATGACTGAGGGAGAGTAGCAGGCAGAATTCATCCTTTGAAGTGGGAGGTGCCGCCAGAAAATCGGCCATCCTGAGTGGTCTACTCTCGCATGGGTGTAGCCAAAGAGAAGAGGGGGAGTTTAGAACCTCCAAATTTTTTTAAATTTTGCTTTAAGTATAAATGCACGTACGATATTCGTTAAGTATGCTTGAAAACACCTCTCCCCTTTCCCCCCCTAAAAAATTCTAAGCTCCTGACCTTTCTAATACTCAGCGTGAATTCACAGCTTCATTCATCAGCTGATTGCGATAATGGCTTTTTTGTTGTTGCAGCTGTACGATACTACCTGACTCCTTGTACTCAGCTATTTCTAAGTGGAATGAAGAATGGTAAATAAAATTAAATAGTTATAGGTCAGTTGTCACGCACATAACAAATAATAAACACTGTCTTATTATATGTATCATCTTAACAACTGTCCCTTGACTGAGGTTGAAGAATATAAATACTTGGGTGTCACAATTACAAACTGCTTAACATGGTCAAGTAACATTAATAAAACATGCTTATCTACTTCTAAAAAGCTAGTATTTTTTAAGAATAAACTAAAAACAGCACCCCCAGAAATGAAAATAATGATATGTGGGGTTTAACGTTCCAAAACCACCAGATGATTATGAGAGATGCCGTAGTGGTAGTCTCCGGAACTTTCGACCACCTGGGGTCAAATATTTATACGTGCACCCAAATCTGAGCACACGGGCCTACAGCACTTTCGCCTTCGTTGAAAATGCAGCCGCCGGAGTCGGGATGTGATCTTGCGACGTGCGGGTCTGCAGCTGAGTACCTCAGCCCCTAGACCACCACGACGGGGCTCAGAAATGAAAATATTGGCCTACAATGCTACAAGATCGAAGTTGGTTTATGGTAGCGTTGTTTAGGAAGCACATCTAAATAGACATATTAGGAAACTTGAGACGGTGCTGCGTAAGACAGTTCGCTTTCTATTTAATGCTTTGAAGAGAAATAACTCACCGACAACGACCATGACCATTATTATCCCTATTGTACAATACCGAAGGGCAGTAGCCCGGCTGAAAATTTTACCATCGCTTTATTTTCGTAAATTTAACATTCATCCTGAAACTTTCATAAGAAATCGAATGTCAGGACCGACTAGGCATACACATGCTTAAACTCTTAAGCCTTACTTCGCACGTACAAATATTTTCATAAACTCTTTCTTTCCTCGGACTATCAGTGATTGGAACGAGTTACCTTTTGAAGCATTCTGTGATAATAATATCTGGTTGTTGATAACTACGTATCTTTCTTTTCTTAACAATGCAACACAAGATCTCGACTGTCTCACAGTGCACTTTATTTATATTCTGTAGTTGCGAGTGTGATTATATTGCTGTCATTGTAATTATTTATTTTTTGTTCTGCGTTCAATTCTTTTATCATGTTTTTATTGCCTGAAATTTCCTTCTTCTAGAGTTAAACTGAGAATTACTTTTTCTTATGCCCTCCTGCTTGGTCTTCAGACCACAGTGTACTGTAAAATAAATAAATAAAAATAAAATTGCGATGAGCAGTGACCCCCTCGGTGTTCATCTAGTATAGGGGCGGTATGCAGTGGCAGTCTGAGGTAGTCAGCCCCTTAGCATTAAGAATGGCGCCATAGTGATGGAGCAACTACTATGCACGTCCTACGTGCGAACAATTCTGCACACACGTGCTGCGTCCAAGAATGCAACGCGGCATTCCTTTAGGCATCGCCAGTCTGGCCACGTTACTTCGGTGCAAGAAGTATGTGGTTCAGTCACCGCGCGTGTTATCAATTTCCACGTCGTGATATCCGCTGCCACGTCATTTCAGCACAGTTAAAGTAATGGGAACCATCGCTGCCGTCAGTTTGTACTGAAAAGCCACGCAGCCCTAGAGGAAAGATAACCAATCGTTTTCCGCAGCTGTCTGCCGCGAATACGCCGTAGCTTTGGACTTCAGTCGCCAAGAGCACGCAGACCCATGCTTCAGCTTCTACCAGTACGTGTGCGGCAACTGGGCTCAACGGCGTTCCGACAGTGTGCGCGACGTGTTACTGGAGACATTCGAGCGGGTCGTGACCGGCATGGCGATGCGCACGCAAACACCCGTCCAGTTCCAGAATCCGAGCCAGCGGGCCGCCAGGGCCTACACCAGCTGCATCTCCATCTTCAACAGGAAGGAGAGAGAGGTACCTTTTTAATGCTTATTCGTGTTGCACGTACACGCTCAAAAAAAGCCTCCTCAGGTGTGGCCAGCAAATTATTTATGTAGCGTCCTCATTGGACGTCTCCAGAAAAAGCGACGCCGGATAGTTAAGGGTGGGATGGGGGGGGGGGGGGGGGCGGTTTATTTTTATCAGTACAGGAATATAAATGTCGGATATCGCACCGATGAAGGAATCGAATATTGAATAGGCTAGTTACAGATGATTTGCGCAAACATAAACCCTGGCACACTACAGTTGATTGAAAACAAAAATACTGTACGCACCATGTTTGCCCACGCTAATCTCGTGAGCGCAAATTTCAGGTTTCCACTGTTAGCAGCAGGTCACCCTGAGACGTTCGTGGCGGAGCACATTCAGATGCCAGACTGCATGAACATGCGCTCCATATGTCGACTTGGCCTATGTGGTGTACTGTGTCGCAGTGACCCAGAAGGTTTTATAGTCAATCGCTATTCTGGCAGACCTGGCAATATTAGCATATGAAACGACTTTTGTTATCTGGCTTACGCTTGTGAAAAGCTGTGTTTGTGTTTTACTTTCCAAGTCTCGTGGTGAGGCTATAGGCAAAGGCCGGTCAAGATTTTAGAAAGTACAAAAAACTTGAAATAATACTTAACGAACTACAATTTATAACAACAAATACCGCAAATGTTAACTTGAGTGAACTGGCCGCGCCGTATTTTCACTAGGCAACTAAAACAAATATAAAAATATTGCTGCAGTGTGCACGTTCACTGAGCGGCAGGTGCACAATCATGGAAGTTATTAGCAATATTGGCCTCCTATATTGACACTATGTTATAGTTATATTTCATGAATTCTTATAGGCAAGAGACAAGCTCTGACTGCTGTGTGAAGTCGGATGCCCTCTAGTAAGCAATCATTAGGCCTTGTGAAGGCTAATCACTGAAATCAAGCTGAATTATCTTGGACGTACGTGTTTCCTTTTCCTCTCTTAGTACTTGAGTACTGATAGCATCTGTTGCACAACTCTCCTTGCCCACTCAGCTGGTACACGGTAAATTATATGCATGAAAGCAACCTCGGCTTGTGGGTACGTTACGCCAGTGAAATAGCGCGAACGTCGAGGATTGTACGCAGAAGGCAAGGAAGACCCAACAAGAGCTGTATCAACTGGCTGTCGTTTCATGCGCATGGAGACGGACAACTGAAATCAATGGCAGGAGGCCATAGCGAAGACATTCACGAATATGCTTGGAGGTGAAATAACATTTAGGCGAAGTGAAGTTCACTTTTCGTACAAAAAACGCATAAGAACAGGACCATCTGTCTGAAAAACCCTGTGATGACAAACACATACCTAAGGCACGAAGCTTGATCCTGTATACTCAATCTGTCGTTCTAAATTCGCCCTATGTTTCTTGTGTACATAAGGTTCTCTTTTGTGCATTATCGCCTTTTTTAACAATGTACCAGCTAGCTCAATATTTAGCCTTGTAATTCACAGACATACAAAACTACCGATAATGTAGACATCTTCATTTCGTTTTTTTTTTTTTGTGTGAACTTTTTCACAGCCATGACATTAGGTGAGCTCCTAATTGGGGACCACTTGCTGTCGGTGTCAGTCTCATGCGAGGCTATTGTGGCCACACAATATAGCCCATCAAAGTGCAGATTGATTGATATGTGTGGTTTAACGTCACAAAACCACAATATGATTATGAGAGACGCCGTATTGGAGGGCTCCGGAAATTTCGACCACCTGGGGTTCTTTAACGTGCACCCAAATCCGAGCACACGGGCCTGCAACATTTCCACCTCATCAAAGCGCAGAACAGTTCAAATCATAGAAAATATGAAGTGCTATGGAAACCGTTGACCTCATGCCACCCATGATCCGGGGACTCGTGTTTGCTGGTGACGCTATGGGCGCCTTCATGTGAGCTTGCATAAACATCTCATGAAAAGTGAGATATGGAACTTTAACGACAGGCACACTTCCGAACAAATGGAGGGAACAATTCGCCGGGAGTATTCTGTGTAAACTGAATGTAACGATTCAGAGTAACGCAAACAGCTGTAGTTTTCTGCTACCATTATAGAAGTGCAACTTGTGCTCATGCAGTATATGTTAAAAAAAAAGATACTAAATGCAATTCTCTGTCGCGTTGTGTACTCGATGACCATGAGTCTATTCGTTTACGACTAAAGGCTAAGCTTGCAGGATCTCAGAGAGAAGAACAAAGAGGACGGAGACTCCAGACCTCTTGTCAGCAGCCCTGGGTGCTCCGGAATCGACCAGGAAGATGCGTCGTACCGAGCAACCACGCACGAGATCGTGTTGTCTGGTGGCCACGCGTTCAAATTTCTCCGCACCTGATGAACTACTTGACGCAACACATGATGAAACAGGCGGAGGGGCGCGGGGCTGAACAAGTGGCAAATGCTGCTCACGCCACTGAACTTGCGCGTGGATCTTAAGCGCCCTCTTCGCACAGCGGATGTTAACACGGACCCAAAGCGCATTCATTTCTTCAATACTTCGAGATTGTTGTGTGTATTTTCGCTGAAAATAGCGCTTATTGTTAAACATGCTGTCAGGCTGCTTTCTAACCTGTCGTATATGTGAATTTTAATTCGTTTTGATTATTCTTTTTGGAGCAGGGGTCGGAAAAACGCGTCCTCCGGGCCTTACACAGCCCACTGATGTGTCGCTAGCGGGCCACGGCTTCACAATAAATGAAGGTTTTGGAGTTTCATATGTGGTACTCATATCATTTGCTCGGTTATTTTGCGATCAATAAAGCTTTTTTTTTTTGTAGGCTACAGAAATGACACTAGTCTCAACCTCTTTTGTGAGGGACCCTATATGTGGACACTATGTGTTCGAACGTAGTGTGGAACCAAATTTTAATATGTCGCAATTGGCGTTCAGATTTGAGTTAATCTCGAAATCAACAGCGATATGTTTCTCGAACGCTGACGCCAGCTACCCCCCAAATATTTCCTATATATATATGAAATATGTGTAATTCTTTCTGTTAAATGGCAGCTTCAATTGACATTTCCTTTGAAAACCTCTTCGCAACTTTCATCACCATCCTTCATATGCAGCCCTTGCGGAACTAAATTTGATGACTGTGGTCCGGTGGTCAAGGTGACTTTGACACACCTGCTTTTGAACTATAGCTCTTGTCCTCTTGGTAAAAGCACAAAAAAATGAGATTGCATGCGTTTAATCATGGAGCTCCGCCCACATTGACTTCCACCTCTTCCTGCTCACGTGCGTGTCGTTATAGCAACCGACATGCACATGATTATAGCAACCGACATGATTCTGTTCCACGCAACCCTCTCAGTCGGTCGGCGAATGCCGCGAGATGGTACATTCCTAGGGTCCTCAACTCCTGTCACCTGACTACCGCGCTGTCAATGCGAAGAGAAATGGGGACAGCCTGCCGCTGCTTGTTGGCCAGTTGCCCCGACAAGTGCGCCATCTCCGAGGCATCCTCTCCACGGTAGTTGCCGCTATTTCATGGCAAGCGTTGTTCAACCGCGTTCAACCACGGAATTCTGACCGCGAGTCAACGCTAAGTGAAATAGCTACTCGTCAATGGAGGGAACTGCTGAATTGACATTTTGTTACTTATATCAGCTCATGAAAGCTCACCTAATAAGAATGGACTATATCCAGAACAAGCTTGAAGTATAAAATTATTATGGGGTCATCCTGTCTGGTTTTCCCTTCTTTTGTATAGCGCAGAAAAAACAAACGTTTCAAGAAAAAAAATTTTACTCCTATTTCAATCGTTCTGTTCACTTTGGTTTCTTCCCAGCTCCCCACTTTATTATACAAGGATCAAATTTAGGAGCCGCAATCGGCGACTATAATTTCAATCCGACCACCTGTTATGAAGGTAACGTATGCCTAGTGCCCGGCCCGCGACTTGATTTGCCTGTTTGCGGATAAAGGCTACCAGTATACTAGCTGCAGCTGTTTCTAGGAAGAACATGCACTTTTCTCTTGAACGTCGTATAATTTTCACCTAAAATATTTAGCATATGCATATGGCGCAACTAGGCTTTATCGTAGTAAAATCATATTTGCTCGAAGAATGTTCACTTATCAACAATTCTGCGGCAGCCACCTCTGTCGATATATTCGTCCCTGAAACATATAGTAAAATACATTTACGTTTGCCGTGTGATTAATATGTCGGTATTGCTAAAAGACTCGAGATTTTTGTAAGGGCCTTTGCATATGCGCTGTGCACTGGCCAGTTCAAGTTTTGTACTCGCAGTGGCCTTACTTTAGTGTTTATAACATATACTATCAGTCAAAGTATTTGCATTGCACTGTTTTCGCAAAAAAAGTGGCTATTCTTTCCTTAAGCGTGTGGCACAGCTTCGCTGTGCAAACGATGTGGTTCGTCGAATCACGTTATAATGTTGTAAAGCACCGGTAATAGATTTCGAAGGCCGAGCACGGTGTCGAAACTGGATCCATGAACTTCCTGAATCCCTTACACAAAGAACCTCTTTTCCGAAATAAGTTTTCTGAAGGTATTAGGTTAGACATGCAACTGCCCGCTGCGTTTCTGTTACCAGACATATGATATCCGTTTAAGGAGCACGTGTCAGTTATTTCCTTTCCGACAGACAAATCTTATTTACCACCACAAAGCTGGTGCTGTTTTTTCATGCCTGGTGTAATATAATAAAGTGCGTAGGCTGTAATACACTGCGTCTGAATTTTGTCGGAGACTCTATTTAGTGACTGTTCGTGCGACTTCGCTGCATTCGTATGTGGTTATGCAAACACCGAACCTGTCCAAATCCTCGCAGGTGGGGGACTTGAAGACCATTTTGTACAACGCGGAGCTTCTTTGGCCTCAGCCAGCATCGACGGGAAATGTGCTGTCTCCTTTTGTCTACCTTTGCAAGGACTGGTCCTTGCTCTTTATTTTCGGCTTCACCAAGAGTCGGGAAGGTGGTTACGCCCTCGGTCCGACGGAGCAGTTCGACAAAGTTCTGCGAATTTGGGAACAATTAGTGTACAGCTCGAAACATTCCAGCCTCTTCAGCATTCTTTATGAGGAGCTTGTAACCGATGAATCAACCGCCATAAAATACGAACAGATGGCAGACATTGAGAACAAAACCATCAGTGCTCTGCTCAAGGTCAAGAACATCAAGGACCACCATGTTTACACGTCGACCACTATATCAAATCTCTGTCCACATCTAAAGCATCAGCAGTGGATGGATGCGCTGAAATCCCGACTAGGCATCACCAATGACGTCACAATCCCGTTTCGGGTAAATCGGGTCACCTTTGTGCGCACCTTCTTGAACATGACCTCCGAATACGATGACGCGAACCTTATGATCTACATGGGATGGGTTGTAGCGGTGCTGTTTTCGATCTACACAGATAGCCAAATAATGACCGAATATTTCTATGGAACGCGCGACGTCGCGGAGGTTAAACACAAAGAAACATGCTTCCATGTGGTCCAGAAGACTATGGGCTTTGCCTTCGAAGCCGAATACGTGCAGCAAGTGGCGCCGACCCAGGTGCTCGCTGATGTGTCCAGCATGGTCAGCCAGCTGTATCGTGCATACAGCCGGATGTTGTCAAGTGAAGGTAACCTCTTCCCATCGGAAGTCCAGATGTCTGCGTACGAGAACAGCGCAGGAGCAGTGTTCGAGTACGTGGACCGCTCGAGCAGCATTTACCTCACGCGCGTGTTCAGTGCGTATACAGACATGTCACCGCTGCTTTCTAAGACGTGGGAAGCTATCAACAAGGGCTTTTTCTCCGTGCTACCATCCGACGTTAGTCCTTGGCCAATGCGCGTCGTTAGAGATGCGCGCACGAACCGCAAGATTACGTTGCTCACGAGTTTGAACATCGCTTCTGGTAAATTCTCGCTCATGCCGTACGCATTCGACTTCCCGGTGTATCAGCTGCAAGCGCCGCTGAGCATTCGTTACGGCTCCCTTGGCTCGGTGATTTCCTCTTCTATGGCGGCGATGTTGTTCGCCAATATCAGCACTTGGAATGAAACCTACAAGAGTGAAGTGATGCAGGAGATCACTTGCTTTTTCCGCAGGAGCTTTGATAGCTGGGACAGTATCAGCCCTGTCGAACGGGCCATCATTTACAGGATGGCCTCAGTGGGTGCTCTCTGGGAAGCGTACCGTTTTGCCAGAAACAGCACAGAAGAATATCTGTCGGGACACGAAAACATTCGCTCGGACCAGTTATTTTTCTTTTTCTGGTGTTACCTCCAGTGCGGCGAGCCCGCTGGCGAACACTCGTGCGACGGGCCGCTCAAGCATTTGCCTGCCTTTTCCCACACATTTAAATGCAGCAAAGGGTCGCCCATGTCGATGAAGTGGCGATGCAGCTTCTTTCACTGAGCGCTTCTAAGGACGCAAAAAGTGTGTTCACCACGCTGGAAGGTGCTTGTACCGACGCACCTTCCAGCGTCTATACCTGAATTGAGTTCAAAGAGACTACTCCAGAACGTAATATTGTTTAACATTGTTCACATCTCCGGTTCTTGAAATCGTTACCTTATAGTAACCGTGCGATCAGATTCTATATATAATAAATGTCCATACTTGTCTCAAGACGAACGTTGTCATAATTTGCCATTATCACCTTGTAGTGCCGATCAGTGGATGCCGTAGCGAAGGTATGTTACTAGTACAAAAGCTTCCATATACGAAGCATTTTTTTACGTACTGCAGGTACTTAAGTATCTATCTATCTATCTATCTATCTATCTATCTATCTATCTATCTATCTATCTATCTATCTATCTATCTATCTATCTATCTATCTATCTATCCGTCTACGTTTCGGTGCTCTTGTGATCACCAGCTTAACTTGGGGTAAACAAAAATTAGTATGGGAGGGCTAGATGATTTGACAAATATGACTCGCTAGCCATGACATGAATGATGTCAGAATCCCGTCGTTTACGTTGTCAAATGCTTTCCGCCAGACGTGTGGCCCATACCCTGGGGTGGGTATGTGCCACACGTATACCGGTCTGTGCCACAGGTGATTGACATTTTACATCTACCTAGGAACGGCGAGAGCAGACATGGCAAATTTCAATGAATGAGCGTTAAGAAAAAGCTGATTTAGGCAGCGTTGACCCGACGAATGCAAAAAATAAAAGTAAGTATTTTACCACATAACCACGCCATGTCTGAGAACTACTTTTAAAATAGACCCTAATGATCCTGAAACGTCAATTGTGGTTGGATCTCTGGCTATCCAATTTTATAAACATTACATAGGTAGTCTTAGGATTCAGCCGTCATTTCGGGTTGAAGTGAATTGTAGTTAAGCGCCATTCGTTAAAGTTTATCTATGTAGCAGTTTCCAGGGCTGCCATCCACGCGAGCACCAGCTCTTTATACCAGCTTACCACTCCTGGTGTTGCTAATATCCATGGTATTGGTGGCATCGTATCGCAACTTTGAGCAATTGATTACACAAGACATATGAAGTGGTTTAATGTGTGTTGTGCGTACATGTGTGCTTATCTCTAGAGCCACTTCGTAACGCTTCGTTCAATAAGCAATCGCAACAC